GGGGGGGGGGCGACTCAGGTGGCTTGTCGTTCGAGGGGGATTTCTCCTAAGGGATGGGCTTTTTTTGCCTTTTTATTTTGGCATGGGAACTAGTCGACGCCCCCGGCACTCAAAGCCGTTAGTCACGGGGCGGGGGAGAAGGAGAAGGGCCGTAGGAATTGCTGCTGGGATGGAGGGATGGATGGATGGAGGGAGGGATGGATGGATGGGTGGATGGATGGGTGGATGGATGGGTGGATGGATGGAGAGAAAGGCAGCTGGGGTGTTAAAAATCAGTATCCCCTTTTTCCTCAGCTTGGCTCCTGAGGCAGTGAAAATGCCTCCAGCACTCGAGCACTCAATGGAGCCCTGGAAGAGGCTGCCCAGGGAGGTTGTGGAGTCCCCTTCTTTGGAGATTTTCAAGACCCGCCTGGATGCAGTCCTGAGTAACATGCTCTGACAAGCCCTAGGCAATCCTGCTTTAGCAGGGGAGTTGGACTAGATGATCTCTATGGTCCCTTCCAACTCTAAAAATTCAGTGAAATTTTTCCAGCCTTTACAAAACCATCCTCTTGACCTGCAGATTGTGTTGCTGGCCGCCTGCGAGGCTTGCACGTTCCAGCTTTGCTCACACAAATTAAAAATGCGGTTAAAAACTAAAGGCGCCTTCAGCTGCCACTTTCAGGCAGGCGTCGAATATCGGATGCATCGTGGCAAGCTGCAGTTCTGCAAGGGATGGATGCTTGAACTCAGCTCTCATCTTCTTGGTATGCTTCAGTGGTTATTTAAATTAGAAAAATGTTATGAAGCCCACTGGACATAACATGCCGTAGGACTCGGCGGTGGTTGAGTGTTGCTAATCTAACAGTAGCCAAAAGTGTATTTATTTTGTAAGGATATGAACCTTAAAAAAAATCTGTGCAGACAGATAACAGACTTAAGGCATTGCAGTACCTAAAAATCAGGCTTCTCATTTTCATTTGTCATTCCACACAGACTGCTTCTTGAGCCTTGGGGCACTTAAGTGTTTAGGTTTGGATCAGGGATGCACTTTTGAAGTAAATGCTGTCATCATCTCTGCTTACAGTGCTTTGATTCACACTGTGGAGTGGTGCTGGAGTGCATGAAGTAGATCCCTTTTGGATGAAGCTAAACTGGCAGAGGTGCTTCAGGGTGCACCTAATGCGTTCCAGCCACAAATGGGCACTCAGTGGGACTCAAACTGAACTGGTTGAACATTAGGAATCCCTGAAATGTATATCATTTGGAGATCAGGCCCTCAGTACCAACTGTTGCACTCCACAGGGCAACATCGTCCGTAGCTATAAAGATAACTTGAGCTGAAGTTCAGCAGCTGCTGTCTAAAGGGTAGAAAATGTGCTACCTATGTTGCTATTCCAGATATTGTCAATGCCTTTTGTGGTCCCTAATTATCCCCCTATGCCTGTAACTGATGCCAGGATAGAAGGCAGTGGGGCTACAAGTTAAAAATTAAGATAAATGACTGCGTAACACTTTAATGCTTAAAAATAACTGAATGAATTTCCGGTAACATATGCTAGCAATTAAAACAATTTTTTTCTATCAGTGTATCTTGTCATTTTAATATGAGGCCAGATTGTAAGGGATGTAGTACATGTTGAATTTTTGTGAGAAGCCATAGACAGAACCACTGTTGTGGCAAAATCTGAACAGAGAACTGTGGATTTTTTGTTATAACCTACAAAAAATCAATTTCCTTTTCTTACAGTGCTTCTCACCAGTAACCAGTTTCACACACCAACATGGTGTAGTTACTCTTTTTACTGAGATCTGCTTTCTTTCAGATGTTTCTCATAATACGATATGTGACAGAGAAGATAGAATACTTTGTGTGATAGAGAAGATAGAACACTTTATAACACTTAAGCTTTGCTTCAATAAGAACAGCAGTCCATAATTTTACATGCCTGAAATCAAACATCAGAGCTCAGTTGTCCTCTGGGTTTCTTCAGTATTCATCATAATATTTTTCTCTCTCATCTTGTGGTTGTAACAGAAATGTTGGAGTACAACAGATTTTTGTTTACTGCATCCAAAAATTTAAGGCTAATTTCACTCAACTAAAAAGATGGAATTTTATAATGAGAACCCTTGCAAATCAGGCATGGATGTGGAGGCCAAGCCCTTTTTTTCTGACATGAATATCATGGTCTATAATAGAGATTTTGTTTTGAGGAGCTAGATTAGGCTCCACCAAGTCACTAAAATAAATAGTGGAAAAAATATGATTTACCAGGTAGAACAAGCATGTATGAGTCCAAATACAAATAAGCAGCAGGTCTTACTGATAACAACATTTTTAGACATTATTCCCCCCCCCCAAAAAAAGAGGGGAAACACCCACGTTTGGGCCACCTGGGTGGTTTTTCCAGGAACTCCTAAGTGGGTTGTGGAATGATCCAGGCCAGAGACAAACAGGTGAAGACAGCAGCCAGATTGTCTTGGCTTCCTTTTTTTGGTCCCACAAACGAGCTGGCTCGCTGTCAGGCTGGCCCTCCAGTGCAGATCAGAGCAGTCTGATCTGTTCTGCTGGAAACGGCGTGAAGTGCCAAGTCCTACACGTGTCTTCTCTAGGAGTGCCTATGAGTCACTGTACCAGCTAGGCGTACAGGCAGCTACTGGTTTGATGGCTAACCAAAGTAATACAGTCTCCGTAGGAAAGAGCTGCTCCCCCCCTGCATCCGTATCAAGCCACTGACACTGAGAGCCAAGTAGGAGTAAATGTGATGTAAGCATCGGTGGAAGTGGATGGCAAGAGGACACTGAGTGAGTAGGATTATCCACACGGTTGAGAGAGGTAGAAATGTAAATACACGGTGCAAGGTACTACCCAGAGCATTTTAGAAGAGCCTTTAAAAAGACAAAAATCAATGGGAGTATTCTCCTGGCTGAAAAGTGCAGAAATTGGCACATGGGTAGGAGCAGATTATTCATTTATTCTTTCTTGCAGTGAAATTTCATTACATACAGAAGAAACAAAAACCATGAAGAAGTGAATAGATATTGTTTCTTTCCTAGGGTCTTGAGAGAAAACAATGCAACAAAAGGGAGTGATGCTGGTTTTATTACTATTTGTTACAAACTAGCTGTTGCTTTCCCAGGAACCAAGCTCTCATTTGAGCAAGCAGTAATTTAAAAAGAATTTTATCATGAATTTCCTATACAGCCTTGCATATTTAATACATGCAATAAAGGCCGACAGTGACAATTCTCAGGTGGTGGAGTTTGCTGTAACTGCACTGACATTCTTTTACAAAGCTTTCCTTAAAATGTGTATTTTAAAATGTGTAATTTGCAAGTATTACTCTTGAATGGCATCATTTCATTTTGAAGACCGGGCACGTGATCAAAGAGTTATGTCTTTATTCTTCCCTGTGAGATCATTTCCACACAAGGGCTACAAACCAATTTTTCCCTCCTCCATTCGGTGGGTGCTGCAACCATCCTTCACCGAAATGGCAAGTGGTTCACTCCACAGGATTTGCCGGGTTCGGGTGTTTGTAGGGATTCAGTAGGGATGAGGGTTTTCTGCACATCCCCCCGAGCAGCATTGCTAGCTGCTCTGCCCAGGATTTCTAAGCCAAACAGAGCCCTGCCGGGGATGCTGGTGGGGGGAAGTGACAGCAGAAACGGGGCTTGGTCTGTAAGAAATAGTTTTACTGTCTTATTTAACAAGGACACGTTTAGGCTACAAAAAGTACCAGTGATCTAGAGCTTACCTACTCTCTGCCTCCTAGTATAAAAATAGGTTTTCTGTGCTGCTTAGCCACCTGCTGTATTCTCCTCTTAAGCATTACCACTGCCCTTTATTCTGGCTTCCTAAACATGTGTGGGTAGATTGCAAGATACACATTCTGCTTTTGCAGAGCCAGGACTCAGCCTAATTATAACCTGCAAGATCAGGATGTGACTGTTTGGACTTGCAGAAGCACAGATGAATAATTGAGTTGTTGAAATTTAATTTGTTTAGATATTCTGAACTCTGTCCGCTTTTTACTGTAATTTGTTGTGTTTATGACAGTGCTGATACCTGATGAAAATGACCTATGTGTGCAAGCCATCGTTTGCATTGTATTTTCCGATGAAGTAAATTGACTTTTAGCAAAGTAAAAACACTTTTGTTGTTCTTTTATGATTCTAAAGTCATTGTGTTCTTATAACTTCTCCATGACAAAGAAAATAGTACACAGAATAAAGTTAAATAATATTCCTTTCCAGACTATGGTAATTTGGACAATCTGACATTTCAAAGAACTGTATGTCTTTATTTCAATAATAATGACAAGTTATGGTTAATGGATTTCATTCATCCTAATATGTCTTACTGTGTGTAATAGGCACCTTCAGTGTGCTCGTAGGTAGCTTTGCCCATGAGGTATTTCATCCTTGAGCATAATTCATAGTTTTATGTCAGCATTCGGTTGGAACAAGACAGGGGATAAGATGACATGCTTGCAGGGTGGCTTTCAGTTGCAGTAGTCTGTGTCTTGAGCTCCGAGGGCAATTCCTATATGTCTAGACCCATCAACGCTGCAGTCCTCAGCTCATCTCAGAATAATGGTACTGACATACGTCATTATAGTCTCACAGATCCCATTGTCTTCCACCCCTTTTTCCACCCCTGGAGTTCTGGTGTCACTAGCAATGATGTCAGAATAAAAACATACTAGATAGGATGGCTCACATGCTTTCCACTGATTATTTTCTTAAAATCAGTTTTGTTTTCAGAGCATTTGTAACTTTCCATAAACAGTTTCCTCTTGTTCTATTTAAATACTTTATTTTCCTCTGTCATCCTTCTCACTAATTCTCCTTTCTCTCTTGGGTGCATTTAAACTTAGTTACTATTTTACTAGTGTAAGTAAGTGTGTTGTTTTCACATATACCAGCAGTATCCCCCACTTAGGGCTCTTTTGACCTATTTTCTAATAAGTTTCAATAGGAAAAAAGAATCGCCCTTCCTCTCTAGAATAACCAGAATTTATTAACTGTCTTACTAAGCCAAGCCTAATGGAGACCCCATGCCGCTACATTTAGCATCTGTATACAGAATCCTAAAACTTTATCCATGAAACAGTAATATATGAAATATTGCATCTAGACTGGCAGTGTCTCACTAAATGTAATCTTCAATTAAATCAAAGTGGTTTCAGTGTATTTTTAACAAGGGAAAAGATGTGTATGATTTTCGCATTCTGACATGAGAATGTGTTAGAAAATATTAATTTAAATATAGCACGGAGAGAGGGGCTGTACAGCAATATCAACACAGTTGAGATGTTACAATTTCTACCTATTGTAACATGTATTATCATCACTATCAAACTTGAGTCCTACTCTTGGTCAGAATCCTTATTTAGGTAGATCAGGTGTCATACAAACACAAAATAAGAAGATGATCCTTGCCCCAAACACCTTGTAATACAAGAGTTAACAGGTGAGAGAGCATTGGGAAAGGATGAGGTATACTCGCACACAGCTGGACTTAGCCAAATCTGTAGCATCATGGCAGAGGTGAATTTCAAATATAGATTTTTTTTTAAGGAAAATACTGAAGTGGCTTTGTTGATGTTTATGAGAAACTCAGCAAGAGCACGTGGGAGCAATGTGGGAGATAACATGGATGCGCATACCTGGAATTTTAACAAGCAGACGATAACTGTCATCCTGGGTAGACTGGAGGTGAGAGCTTGAGAGATGTTATGGTGGGGACAGATTGCAAGTGGACTTGAAAATGGAGACAGCGTACACTGATGCTGTATGGATGGGGAGAACAAAGAAAGGACTGTAAGAGAGGAAGATTTAGAATTTACCATCTCCCCGAATGATGATGAATTATTAAGGTAGTGCATGGCAAGGGTAAGGAAACAGATGTTGCAGCAATCAATGTGTGGCATAATGAAAATTTGGATGGGTTTTTAGTATGCAGATGAATGCAAAAAGCCTTCTACTAGAAATGTTAGAAGAAAGTCTTGTTAGGATTGCAGCATAATTTGGCTATGATAAAAAAGATGGAGGTGGAAAGTGCAGATAAGTGGCAGGCTAGATATGATTTGTCATGGTGACTGCAAAGGAGATGCAACCAACAGTAGTGTTTTAAACATACTGTTCTTGGGGTCATGTCCCTTAAGAAGAAATCTGAGCCAGATTTTTTGAGACTTTCTTTTGAATAAAAACAGGCAGATCTGGAGTGAAGAAATACATATTCAAAATAATAACTAAATCATCATAGGGTTAGATCATCATAAATGCTGGAGGTGGGTCCTGAAAGAACTCCAAATGGCCATGAAGTGGTGAAAACAGACACACAGAGGGGAAAAAGAAAAAGATGGTCACAAAAACTTAAGAAGGACAAGGTTGCGATGATGGATTATTCAGCTTTTGTTCAGTTCAAAACCAGTGAGACAGAGGTAAGAGCAGATTATGTTGTGTCTAAGGGGAGAAGGCCAGTTTACAGAGGTTCTGGGATGAAACTGGAGAAGAGGTACGTTTAGTGAGCTTGGAGATGGGAAAGAGGAGCAGAGCAGTCTGTAGCTGGCGAGAAAAGGGGATCAGAAAAAGAATGTTTTTGGTGTGAGCACGAGAACTGAAGGAGGACAAACTGAGGCAAATGGAGCAGTTGAAAAAGAGAAATTCTTAATATGTGACATGAAAGAAGGAAAAGAGTAACGGAAAGGGAAGGGATGGAAAGCAGCTGTCTTCATGTAGAAGACATTGGTGAGATCCCAGTGTGGAGATTGAAGGAGATGAGGGAGCAGGGTAGGAGGAAGGATGATTCAGGGTAGTAAAAAAAACAACTTGAGATGACAGATGTTCTCCAACTGGAGAGTGGAGAATTACTTAACTACAAAACTGGAAGAACTGAAGATGGATAAAACAAACTTGCAGTGTGGAAAGACAGCTTTTAGGTGAAAAGGTTGAAGCAGGCAGAAAACGAACAACAATCCCTGAGACAGAATGAGAAAGGAAAGAAGAAATGTGGGAAAAGAGAGGAGAGACAAATACTGATATATACCAATGACCCGGAAATTGTGGAAAAACTGAGTGACGTAGCATGAAGCAGAAGACCTTAAGTATGAAGCGGAAAGATTTAAGATCATTATTTAAAAGGGACGAACACAACCACAGAGATCTGAGAATATGGCTGATGAAAATCAATGCAAGACAGTAAGCTTTGCTATAGGGTGAGCTGACAGAGGAATGCTGACTGAACACAGAGGGCAGTCATGGGACTCTTCAGCAAAGGGATTGGATGGATCAGCAAAGATTTACATAGGATATGGTGAAAATAAAAGAATGCCTTGAGTTGAAATCAAAGAACGAGGCCAAACAGAATTGCTGCATGGAGAGCAGCAGCAAGAAAATGATAGGGGAAGTGGAGAAGGGTCGTCTTTAAAGTCACTAAAAATGGAGAAAGGGTATAAGGGATGTAGTCAAGGAGGAGCACAGGCAGGGAGAGAGCAGAAGCCCGGTGTGACTACCATGAAACAAAGCTGGGGGAGAAATGCATGGAAGATAGAAACCTCTGAAAGTGAGGGAAGAGAAACAAAAGGATCCACGACTTGGCGAGGCTGAAGGCAGTGACATATGAAGAAGTCATGGATGACACGGGTTTTTTACAGGCAAAGAGAGTGGGAGGAAAGAAGGGCGTGGGTGTGAAATTTGAAGCTGTGAAACAAGACAGGTAGAAGCAGCAAGAAAGGAAGGTGTAGAGTAAGGCAAGACAAAATTTTCAAGCTTGGATGGTAAAAATAATGGCCCTAACTCCTGTTTAGCCGTCGCAATAGAAAGTGGCTTTAAAGCATAGTCCCTCTCTTTTCTTTCCAGAGATCATCTGCAAATAGTTGCTCAGATGTGTGGGTTTTTTCTCTGGGGAGGGCAGAGGGAAATGAACTACTGATTCCTACTCTCTCCTGTTCAATGTATTCATTAGGCTGGTGGAAAGGCTGATAGAAACCATATTTAATAAAGTAGCAGGAGATTGATTTAGCTGAGAGAAGGCATAGATGTTAACAGCGTCATTCCTAAACAAATTTAGATCTTTCTGTTTCATCACATTTGGCAGGTCTGGTTGGATGATGTCCGTACTAATGCTAAATATGGGCTTGAGCTTGAATGCAACCTAAGTGACTGGGACCAGGTTTATTTCAGCAGCCTGTACTGGAGGGGTCTGCTGCTAGATAATGGTCTTGATTTCTATCTTAGGGACTTTCCTGCTTCCCCAGCTGTTTCTGCAAATAAGCAGCAGACATGAAAGCTTCTTTCAGAGCGAGCTTTGCTCAGAAATTAATACCTTTTTTTTCCCCTGGATGTGGGCCTTGCCACTTCTCTGTGCTTCTGTCACCTGGAGTTTGGGTTTCTGCAGAGAGCACTCCATAAAACCGTGCCCAGACATCAAAAGGGAGCTTCCCCACGTAAGTGCAGAACACCCACTGGCTAAGCAAGTTCCTCCTAATGTTCCCAGCAGGCAGCCCTGGCTCCTGTGAAATTCAGTGTGTTTTTACATGCACTGCAAATCTTCAGGATGGGATCCATCTTCACCGAATACACTGCTCACTCCTTGTAATAACTCAGCAACTGGGGTTCTTCAGGTGAAGGGGTTCTGCTCTCTCCTATATCGGAGAAAGGTCTGCTGACATCTTGTGTGCTCAACAAGGTGCTCTCAACCCACATTATTATTTTAGTCATTATGTCTACAAAAGAGCCTGAAGCTACAAAGCCTGTTTTCAAGATAAGCTTTCTCCTTCCTGTTTTTCAAAAGGGATTTGGTTGTCAGGCTCCGGGAGCCACGGCAGACTGCGGTTCTGGTTTGTTTTCTAGGAATGACTAAGAGAGGAGGAGTTTGTACGGTCTGACTAAATTGTGATGACTTTGTTAGCAACGGCATTTCTTTAACTGTACATGAGCTTGCTGAAAGTATGTTTTTAATCTTGTAAAACCCTCCTCAGTTTCTGATGTTGCTTCTCACACACATCCTGTTATTTTCCCTTTTTAGCTTCAATCCTTCCGTGTTTGACATACAGGCACTTCCAGGAATATTTTAAAATGGATTGTTTCAACTTAGTAAACATACTACTTTCAAATATTTCCATTGTTGGCTAATGTCTGAAGAG